ATTTCATAAACATAGAATGACAAAAAAAGACAATTAAAGCCATTTTAATCCCACTTTGTAACACAACAAAATGTGGAAAAAGTCAAGGGGTGTGAATAATTTCTGAAGGCACTGGTCAAAAGTTTTGAGAATGATACAAATATTAATATTCACAAAGTCTGCTGCCTCAGTTTTTATGATGGTCATTTGCAAATACTCCAGAATGCATACATTTTTACGTATGGGTCCTCTGTAGCTCAGCTGGTAGAGCACGGCGCTTGTAACGCCAGGGTAGTGGGTTCGATCCCCGGGACCACCCATACGTAAAAATTTATGCACACATGACTGTAAGTCGCTTTGGATAAAAGCGTCTGCTAAATGGCATATTATTATATTATTATTATGAAGAGTGATCAGATGAATTGCAATTAATTGCAAAGTCCGCCATGAAAATGAACTTAATCCCCCAAAAACATTTCCACTGCATTTCAGCCCTGCCACAAAAGGACCAGCTGACATCATGTCAGTGATTCTCTCGTTAACACAGGTGAGAGTGTCGATGAGGACAAGGCTTGAGATCACTCTGTCATGCTGATTGAGTTAGAATAACAGACTGGAAGCTTTAAAAGGAGGGTGGTGCTTGAAATCAATGTTCTTCCTCTGTTAACCATGGTTACCTGCAAGGAAACACGTGACGTCATCATTGCTTTGCACAAAAAGGGCTTCACAGGCAAGGATATTGCTGCTAGTAAGATTGCACCTAAATCAACCATTTATCGGATCATCAATAACTTCAAGGAGAGAGGTTCAATTGTTGTGAAGAAGGCTTCAGGGCGCCCAAGAAAGTCCAGCAAGCGCCAAGGCGGTCTCCTAAAGTTGATTCAGCTGCGGGATCGGGGCACCACCAGTGCAGAGCTTGCTCAGGAATGGCAGCAGGCAGGTGTGAGTGCATCTGCACACACAGTGAGGCAAAGGCTTTTGGAGGATGGTCTGGTGTCAAGAAGGGCAGCAAGGAAGCCACTTCTCACGAGGAAAAACATCAGGGACAGACTGATATTCTGCAAAAGGTACAGGGATTGGACTGCTGAGGACTGGGGTAAAGTCATTTTCTCTGATGAATCCCCTTTCCGATTGTTTGGGGCATCCGGAAAAAAGCTTGGTCGGGAGAAGACAAGGTGAGCGCTACCATCAGTCCTGTGTCATGCCAACAGTAAAGCATCCTGAGACCATTCATGTGTGGGGTTGCTTCTCAGCCAAGGGAGTGGGCTCACTCACAATTTTGCCTAAGAACACAGCCATGAATAAAGAATGGTACCAACACATCCTCCGAGAGCAACTTCTCCCAACCATCCAAGAACAGTTTGGTGACGACCAATGCCTTTTCCAGCATGATGGAGCACCTTGCCATAAGGCAAAAGTGATAACTAAGTGGCTCTGGGAACAAAACATCAAAATGTTGGGTCCATGGCCAGGAAACTCCCCAGACCTTTATCCCATTGAGAACTTGTGGTCAATCCTCAAGAGGCGGTTGGACAAACAAAAACCCACAGATTCTGACAAACTCCAAGCATTGATTATGCAAGAATGGGCTGCCATCAGTCAGGATGTGGCCCAGAAGTTAATTGACAGCATGCCAGGGCGAATTGCAGAGGTCTTGAAAAAGAAGGGTCAACACTCCAAATATTGACTCTTTACATAAACTTTATGTAATTGTCAATAAAAGCCTTTGACACTTATGGAATGCTTCTAATTATACTTCAGTATACCATAGTAACATCTGACAAAAATATCTAAAAACACTGAAGAAGCAAACTTTGTGAAGACCAATACTTGTGTCATTCTCAAAACTTTTGACCACGACTGTACATGTGACCACCACAGAGCTGGAACTTGCTTTACTGACCATATTGATACTTTTACACAAATTAGCCTATGAAACAAATTAATAATGACAAGATAGACTAATGAGATAATTTAGTAGAAGCCTAAACTAGATAATTAGGCCTAGATCATTATCATCATTAATAACCACACTGCAATTGATCTCATTCTACTTGAAATGCTTCCACATTCCATTTAGTAGCTTATCGTTTCTTCACCCTTGTACTGTATGCGTTGAATCGCACATCCAACTTGCTGTGCTGAGATGAAAGTTGCATAAGATTGACGATAGGAAACTCGTCTCAGGACATTAGGCTACTGTAATACATCATGTTGTAGGTAGATTCTGACTGTGCCCTCTAAGCACCCATAATAACTAGCCTAGCCTAGTCTACTTTTAATTTGTTTGTTTTATATGTACAAAATAAAGATTATTAACCGATACCTTATTTGGCTCACAAGTGGTTTCCCACTGGGCACACACTGGTTGAATCAACGTTGTTTCCACGTCATTTCAATGAAATTACGTTGAACCAATGTGGAATAGACGTTGAATTGACCTCTGTGCCCAGTGGGTTGTACTTTCTGGTGTTTGTTTTTAAAAGAATGGAAAACGAATGTCGACATGAGCTAACTTTATCTGCAGTAGGCCGCTGTTCTTTATGTTTTGTTCTCTATGTCCTGTCCTCTATGTTATTTGAGTCTGTGTTGTCTTCTACGTAGCCTCCTCAAATTCCTTCAAGGAAAAACACTGTCCAATCTACTGCAGAGTAGACAACATTATATTCTCACATTCTATTCTATTGTGATGTCAAGCCTCATTATTAGCCTACATTATGTTTTGTAGCCATGATAGAACACTCAGGACAGCGCATACTCACATTTTAATAGGCATGCGGATAGTGTTCATAGTAATGGCCCTTTCTTACATGTTCTTATTCAATATTCATATATGAATATTCAATATTCATATTAAAAACTATAATATGTATGGCATAATACACAGACAATGTTGGAGATGTGTCAGGTAGCCTAGCGGTTAGGAGCGTTGGGCCGATAACCGAAAGGTCGCTGGTTTGAATCCCCAAGCCGACTAGGTGAAAAATATGTTGACATGCCCTTGAGCACAACCTGATCTCAGAGGATTTCAGGTTATTCTGTACGTAAATCCGAAACACTCCATTTAGTATGGTATGTATTCATTTGTGGATATCCATTTCATATAATATGTTACGAATTACAATTCATACGATATGTTATGAATTTGCAAAATGTACAATATGTTACGAATTCCAATTTGTTGTGGCTAACGTTAGCTAGGTGCCTAACGCTAGCTGGCTAACATTATCTAGGGTTAAGGTTAGGAGTTAGGTTGAGGGTTAGCTAAAAGGGTTAATGTTAGGGTTAGGGTTAGCCAACATTCTATGTAGCTAAAAAGTAGTAAGTAGTTGCAAAGTTGCTAATTAGCTCAAATGCTAAAGTTGTCCTCGATGAGATTCAAACACGCAACCTTTGTAATGTCTAGCAACCCAAAGGTTGCTTGTTCGAATCTCATCACGGACAACTTTTGCATTTTAGCTAATTAGTAACTTTACATTTACATTTTAGTCATTTAGCAGATGTTCTTATCCAGCGCGACTTACAGTTAGTGAGTGCATACATTTTTCATACTGGCCCCCCGTGGGAATCGAACCCACAACCCTGGCGTTGCAAGCGCCATGCTCTACCAACTGAGCAACAAGAGGCCCACTACTTACTACTTTTTAGCTACTTTGCAACTTCTTAGAATGTTAGCTAACCCTTCCCCTAACCCTTTTAGCTAACCCTAACCTGTTGCTGGACGTTCACATTATTTGCCCACCCATCCACCCCAACCAACCACCCTCCTTTTGTTTTTGCCTTAAATAACCTTCTGTCTTAACAGGTATGTAACCATACCAAACGTAACCTACCATACTAATTTGAGCATCCTGGATTTACATTTACTATGTTATGTCTAGTCTATGAGACCAGGCTGTTGTGCAAGGCCCTTAACCCTAATTGCTCCTGTAATTGTCTGCTAAATTATGTGTCCTGTCTGGTTTGTCACTTGCATGACCCTCATGCAATACTAATCTATAACACATGGTGCCAGTAGAGAGACGTAAACTTGGTTTCAACTAAAGACAGTTAATGATTGACTCAGCCCATACCTGTTCTCATGAGAACATCATACAAACACTCATCATGTTATTCCACTTCCCCAAAAATGTGTATAGGCTATAAAAGATTCCATACAATTTGTGCGTTTACTTGGGCCATAATAACACTCTACATCAGTTCTGCTATCAAAGATAACAGGCCATTTCTGTTGATGTCAGCCAATTGTAGGTTAGGGTCCTATTCTTTACTTTGCTGTCCAGTTCATATGTCTAGTCTAAGTGGTTGCATGCAGAAGAGTGGGCCAACAAAAACAACAGCACGCTGATGTGACACCACCCTTACCTTGAAGTAAAAAAAAATACAGCTGTAGCTTTGTGCGCGTGCGTAACATTGCGGGGCTTGGAGAGCAATTGAAGGCTAGCACTGACCTTGTTGAGACCATCATCGATACGAGGATTCCACTGGGGGGGGGGCTGGAACTATTAGCTACTCAAGCCCATTGAAAATATAACTAAATATATGCCGCTTGCATAAATGTTATGGACTTGCGTTGGAACAAATGAAAACACATTATTGAACGTGTTGCAACGGAGCCAACGATTTCCGCTGTATACAAACAAAAACACAGAGGCTTGCCTTCTGTTTTTAAGGTGGATATTTTTTTGCTAGCAGTAAGCTAGCCTACATTGCTATTGGGGCATTGTGTCTTTGTAAACACTGCGTCAGTTGTGTTAGCTAGCTAGCTAGCTACCAAAACAAAAAAAGATGGGACTCGTATATTGTTGAAAGGAGCAGGCTGACTCCTTTCCATTCGTTACCAACATGAGAGAAGAAAGTCGTTCTTTCTTAGGAAGGCAGTTCATGGCAATCGAAAGACGGGGTGAACTTTCCTGCTGCCCCGACTTCACGGAGGATAAAGGGACATCCGAGAGAGGATATATGCGACCGTGCAACGCTTGTCATTTTACTTCAATGTAAAACTCCGAGGCTCTGGAGCGATGGAGACCGTGGGGAAATTCGAGTTCAGCAGGAAGGATTTGATAGGACACGGTGCATTTGCGGTGGTGTTCAAAGGCAGGAATAGAGAGGTGAGGGAACGATGTGGCAATGTTTTTGTGTTAATCTTTTACAAATCTAGATTGTGTCAATTTAGCTATTATCCAAAATAAATATTTGCGTCTGCATTGTTATCGTTTTTATACTGTCGTACGACCTTAATTTGGCCATGCCAGCTGAAAGATGCAATCATCTGGGTTGAGGATGAAAAATATGTACAGCCATTTGCAGGTGAAATATATGCGTAATAATTTATTACAAGTGCATTATTAACCTAAATTACAATATTGGTCTTTCACAGTTTTGGTGGGTGGGTGTGTTTGATGGGGATGGTCGAACATCTAGCTTAGGGGGCTTTTGTCTATTCCAAAAGTCCAAACTTGACCATTGATCACAATGGCATGTTGAGACATGTTTGTCCAACAACAACATAGTTTATGCTGAGGAGGGAGGATTCTGGTTTATGGAGAAAATGGAAAGCCAGGCCTACCTTATTAATTCCACTGAATGTTGTTACTATTCTGTGTTGAGCAGTTAACAAAGAAACAGGGACTCATATATGCTTAATTTAGAGTTATTTATGTAACTTTAGTTGTGATACAAATGTTGGGCTGTATGTTTTGATTTTTAATAAATTCTAAGGCTGTATGATGCAACTCTAATGATGATTTGAAAAAAGTTGCATGAAAGGCATGAACTCTGCTTTGTTTCTTGCGCAGGCTGCACACACTTCATCAGTCTCTCATTCACAATTTGACAAGCTCTTGATAATGCCTCAAATTTCCTGGCGGCATCCCCTTTGTGTGGCTGTAATGCCCCCTAAAAGAATCCATGCCTTTTGCGGCCAGTGGCCGTTGTGCCCTTGGGCTGAATATAATAACTATAATTTCCTTCTCCCGGCGGCATGCTCCAAAGCACCTCTCACTCAAATGACTCTCCATAACGATCAGGTCTTTCTCACAGGCTACAAGTGAAGACAGACGCAACTGCGCGCATCCTTATCCAATTCCGAGGCGCATATTGAAGATATTAGAAGAACTGTCCACATTTACTTTTCGTCAGCCAACAAGATGAGTAGGCCTAACGAACAGCAAAAGCACTAGCCTATGTCAATCTACTATCCCCCGTGCTAAAAAAGTTGACCTATTCAATTCTGTGCGAGAAATAAATATTCCAAACATAGTCTGGGACAGTTGTGGGATGGGATAGATCCCAAATTAATACAACCACTAGCATTCCCCAAAACGTTTTTAAGCAATGAGGCTGGCTCAACAGATCAGAACGTTTTGCTTAAAATGTTGATAAACTATTAGGCTATTTCTTCACATTATGCAGTAATGCGCACATGGCAGTAGGCTATAAGCGTGAATGTTCCATTAGCGGGAAAATACCATTCTCAAAAGTGACCACAAATGCGATTTATGGATGTAATGCTTTTATTATAAAGGTACATTTTTATGGTGAAAATTATCTTCCCCAAACTAGGGGCAGGGGGAAAAAAAGACATGTCATCTATGTACTTAAATAGCGAATGAAGGACGCTTTTCCCGTGTTCCATTTTCATGCCAGCCAGGTAGGCTATACTCCTGTTGTAAAGAGAAGCAATGTATTTAATATTAGGAAAGTTGAGAAATAAATATAGTAGGCCTAGCCTACAGAAAGCTGATGGGATCCTCCTGTTTTTAATAGAGGCCATCACTCTGTTTTCTCACACAATTGCATAGCCTATAGAAATGTTGCGCAACATGAGCTCATGGGCTCTCATGAAGTGTTTGATTAGATTTCCGATTACATTTGCATTAATGTCAAGAGTGATTAGCGGGACAATGGAGTGCTGAGTACCAGGCAGTTAGCAACTTTTGTAGGCTACTAATGACCATCAGCAGCATCAGAGCTTGGAGAAGCCTAATTACCGTGATTAAATGGTCATGTGGTATTTGACTGCCATCATGACATGTGACTCACCGTAATAGCCCTAGTTGTAGGAAGCAATCACTCCCCTTTTGCTGACTACAAATGATCTATAACTGTACTAATAACTCACTAACTAGCAAAGGATATGAACAAAAATGTGCACACATGGCTACATGCAGCTCTCGCTTTGATCTCAAAACAACCGCATCTATTCACGACCGCTCATGCTGTGAACATAGTCCAGTTCAAAGTAAATGGCACAGATCCATATATGGATGTTTGCATATAGGCCTACTGCAGCTCTGATTGTTTATGCCGCACCGGTCTGTGTACCAGTAGCGCGTGTCAATTCAATAGAATCCTACTCCGATACGTTCTGCCTATAACAAAATCTCTTGCATAGTTTGTTTTGATATGTTCCATTAAAAGTGGTTAATATTGCGTTGATTCGATCACAATTGCCACAGTAAAGGGAAACGTTGATAGTATTAACAGGGAAAACTCTAGAACAGTGGTCACCAACCTTTTCTGAGTCAAGATCACTTCGAGTCAAAATGCAAGCTGAGATGTACCGCTCAGATAACTTAAAAAACATAAGCCTATGCAACATTAACCAATTAAAAACAGTACTGTAGTAATGAGGTTTGTGCAGTAAGCTGTAGGCCCAATACATTAACACCGCATATTGTTGTTCAGGCCATTTTAATGTTACTGGGCTGATGGTACCTGCATCTGAGGGTCTGCCTCTCAACATCCCTCCGCTCTCCCTTTCCTCCACTGACACTGACCAAAAAGGGACACTATCTTCCAGCTGATGGCAAAACTTGAGTCGCACTGCATTATTTCTGCCTCAAGCACAAATTCATGTTGTTACTCCTATGAACAGAGACAGTGAAATATTTCTCAATATTAAAAAAGACCCAAGCCGCTAATAATAACAACAAGCAAGCCTACAGATACACTTTCCTACTCATTCATTACTGCTGCAGTGCTTTTTGTAGCGCTGAGTGGAAATAGGAAGAATGTGCATTTTATGGCTTTTTGGAAAGTATTCAGACCCCTTGACTTTTTCCACAATTTGTTACGTTACAGCCTTATTCTAAAATGGATTAAATAAATAAAAGTCCTCAGCAATCTACACACATAATGTAACGTAAATTTGTTACAAATAAAAAACAGATATGGCTTATTTACATAAGTATTCAGACCCTTTGCTGTGAGACTCGAAATTGAGCTCAGGTGCATCCTGTTTCCATTGATCATCCTTGAGATGTTTCTACAACTTGATTGGAGTCAACCTGTGGTAAATTCAGTTTATTGGACATGATTTGGAAAGGCACACACCTGTCTATATAAGGTTCCACAGTTGACAGTGCATGTCAGAGCAAAAACCAAGCCATGACGTCAAAGGAATTGTCTGTAGAGCTCCAAGACAGGATTGTGTCGAGGCACAGATCTGGGGAAGGGTACCACCAAAATTCTGCGGCATTTAAGGTCCCCAAGAACACAGTAGCCTCCATCATTCTTAAATGGAAGAAGTTTGGAACCACCAAGACTCTTCCTAGTACTGGCCGGCCGGCCAAACTGAGCAATCGGTGGAGAAGGGCCTTGGTCAGGGAGGTGACCAAGAACCCGATGGTCACTCTGACAGAGCTCTAGAGTTCCTCTGTGGAGATGGGAGAACCTTCCAGAAGGACAACTATCTCTGCAGCACTCCAGCAATCAGGCCTTTATGGTAGAGTGGCCAGACGGAAGCCACTCCTCAGTAAAAGGCACATGACTCCCACAGGGCTCCAGAGTGGCGCAGCGGTCTAAGGCACTGCATGTCAGTGCTTGAGGCATCACTACAGACCCCTGGTTCAATTCCAGGCTGTATCACAACCGGCCGTGATTGGGAGTCCCATAGGGCGGCGCACAATTGGCCCAGCGTCATCTGGGTTTGGCCGGTGTAGGCCGTCATTGTAAATAAGAATTTGTTCTTAACTGACTTGCCTAGTTAAATAAAGGTTAAAAAAAATAAAAATAAATGACAGCCAGCTTGGAGTTTGCCAAAAGGCACCTAAAGACTCTCAGACCATGAGAAACAAGATTATCTGGTCTGATGAAACCAAGATTCAACTCTTTGACCATTTAATCAACTTTAGAATAAGGCTGTAACCTAACAAAATGTGGAAAAAGTGAAGGGGTCTGAATACTTGTCAACACTTTGTTGACAGTGCTTAAAGAACTTAAACATAAAAACAGCATCTCTTTGCTGTATTTGTTGACAGTCTCTCTCTAGTCATGGTTTTATACGTTTTGAAATCTGAGTATCAACTTTGCTGTAGCTTTCTTTTATGCCTGCTACGTTACTGCAGACATGGTAATCTGAGCCATCTGATTGGCCAGCGGTAGCCCTATAGTGCACTTGATTTGCTCTCTGGGCCTGCCGGGAAGGCAGAGTTTGTACCCTCAGACACATGAAATGGTTCAAAATGGCAACAATTCTCCTACCCGGCGCGCAGGGCAGCTGAATCGAGTGTACCTACCGCCAATAGCCCAAGACAAAAAAATTTAAAAGGAACACAATGCTTTATTGTAGGCTACCTTACCACTTACTTATGTTCCATGCCTTTCACCTATAAGCATTCATTACATGCACCCAGAAAACATTAGGCAGAATGTGTATTATAATTGTTCATAATTATTTTTATTTGTCTATAGAAACATGACTGGGAGGTGGCTGTGAAATGCATAAACAAGAAAAACTTGGCAAAATCTCAGACCCTTTTGGGGAAAGAGATCAAGATACTCAAGGTAAGGCAACCAGTTTTATTTTCGATACATTGTATACAGTAAGACTTTCCATTTGAATAGCTGTAAACTTGTGTTGTTTTTTGTTGTTGCAAAGAACAAACATTTCCCATTTATTTTCCCCAGGAACTAAAACATGAGAACATTGTTGCATTACATGACTTTCAGGTATGTATAAAGCCAAATCCTTAAAGGTGCAATATGCCGAAATCGCTCCGCCATTTCCTGGTTGCTAAAATTCTAATAGTTCGCCTAATTTCAGTTTATGTGACAAAGCAAGTGTAGAGAATCATTGTACCATCTAAACCGCTGTGAAATATATTGTCAATAACCAAAAATATTGTATTTTCAGCTGTTTGAAGCAGGTGTCAAAACCGAAAGTAGACTTAAGAACTGGAAGCATAGAAATAGCGCACATAGAACATATCTACCCCTTCTTAGACTTACTTTCAATGAGAATGACAGATCTATAACTCACATTTGTATGTGAATTTGGAAGCTGCAACATGTAACTTTTTGGACGACCCAACCAAATTCACACATAAATAGGAGTTATAGATCTGTCATTCGCATTGAAACCAAGTCTGAAGCGGTAGATCTGTTCTGTGTGCGCTATTTCTATGCTTCCCGGTCTTAAGTTTCATTTTGCCATCTTTTACTTTGGGTTTTGTACACCAGCTTCAAACAGCTGAAAATAAATATTTTGGGTTATTGAAAATATATTTCACAGCTGTTTGTATGGTACAATGATTCTCTACACTTGTTTTGTCACATAAACTGAAGTTAGGTTAACTATTCGAAATGCATTTTTTTACCCACTTTTGTTTCATGTCATCTTTGTTGCATTACTTGCTGGTTGTTACACAAGTTTGTTGTTCTGTACTGAGCTTTTCTGTACAATTCATTTATCAACCGTTATACAACAGGTGGCACTAATCCTGAATGCTGATTGGTTAAAACTGCATTCCAGCTGGTGTCTATTTCGCAAGTTACCACCGGCTAAATCTATGACGTTAAAATGCCTATTTACTCTGTTCCATCTGACTGCGCAATCCACTGTCTCATCAGCCCAGCCAGGCAATTTATAAACTTGATCTCCACTATAAAAAGCATCTAGACATTATCTCACATTTCTTTTAGACTAACATTTAGTTTTCAACAGCAGAGATTTGTATAAACCCTGCTGTCTGTCTCTCCGACATTTGCAACATTGTTTCAATATTCAAATTCGATCTCCAGCTGTCCCATAGTAATGAATGTGTCGGGTGTCGGGACGAGACAGACTGGCAGGCAGCGTTTCTCAGCCAGTCGAAATCATGAATCAGCTGGCATAATTTTTATGGACATATACAAATAAATTTCAATTGAAAAAAGGTAAAAGAAACGAAGTGCAGCTAGTTTGCAGTCTTTCCAGCTTTAGTTTGAAGTGATTGTGTTAGCTGTGTTGTTGGCTAGCTCCTCTGAACAACAGTGTCCTGATGAGAGAGCACATTTTCTATGCCAGGCGAAATTGTGCCTCATTAGCTCATTGTTATGGATCTATCCAAATAAATGTAACTAGAAAACAGCTTAAACAAGTGCAAATGCAGCTAATTTGTTGTTATTCTGGCTGCACTGTTTGACGTGACTGGAAATTAGCCGTAGTTGGCTAGCTAGCAAGCAAGGGATAAGAACGTTGCCAGCCAGTATGGCAATGGAACATTTAGAACAAATGGCTGGGTCCATAGATACATAACAAAAAGACTGAATGACTGGGTCGTCTCTCTGGCAACCGAACCGATAGAACGAACGACCAGCCGGCTTGGGTAGCAACCCTAGATTTGTGTCGGGACTATATCTTGTGGAAGAATGAAATAGTATTAATTAATTAATCAAAATAATGTTTTTAATTAAAATATGTTAACCATTATTTGAATATGTTGGTAACCCGTTGTATTTGGCACTCCAAACACCGGCTTCTCGGGCATTATCACTTACAGTGGGGAAAAAAAGTATTTAGTCAGCCACCAATTGTGCAAGTTCTCTCACTTAAAAAGATGAGAGAGGCCTGTAATTTTCATCATAGGTACACATCAACTATGACAGACAAAATGAGAAAAAAAAATCCAGAAAATCACATTGTAGGATTTTTAATGAATTTATTTGCAAATGATGGTGGAAAATAAGTATTTGGTCAATAACAAAAGTTTCTCAATACTTTGTTATATACCCTTTGTTGGCAATGGCACAGGTCAAACGTTTTCTGTAAGTCTTCACAAGGTTTTCACAAACTGTTGCTGGTATTTTGGCCCATTCCTCCATGCAGATCTCCTCTAGAGCAGTGATGTTTTGGGGCTGTCGCTGGGCAACACGGACTTTCAACTCCCTCCAAAGATTTTCTATGGGGTTGAGATCTGGAGACTGGCTAGGCCACTCCAGGACCTTGAAATGCTTCTTACGAAGCCACTCCTTCGTTGCCCGGGCGGTGTGTTTTGGGATCATTGTCATGCTGAAAGACCCAGCCACGTTTCATCTTCAATGCCCTTGCTGATGGACGGAGGTTTTCACTCAAAATCTCACGATACATGGCCCCATTCATTCTTTCCTTTACACGGATCAGTCGTCCTGGTCCCTTTGCAGAGAAACAGCCCCAAAGCATGATGTTTCCACCCCCATGCTTCACAGTAGGTATGGTGTTCTTTGGATGCAACTCAGCATTCTTTGTCCTCCAAACACGACGAGTTGAGTTTTTACCAAAACGTTCTATTTTGGTTTCATCTGACCATATGACATTCTCCCAATCCTCTTCTGGATCATCCAAATGCACTCTAGCAAACTTCAGACGGGCCTGGACATGTACTGGCTTAAGCAGGGGGCACTGCAGGATTTGAGTCCCTGGCGGCGTAGTGTGTTACTGATGGTAGGTTTTGTTACTTTGGTCCCAGCTCTCTGCAGGTCATTCACTAGGTCCCCCCGTGTGGTTCTGGGATTTTTGCTCACCGTTCTTGTGATCATTTTGACCCCACGGGGTGAGATCTTGCGTGGAGCACCAGATCGAGGGAGATTATCAGTGGTCTTGTATGTCTTCCATTTCCTAATAATTGCTCCCACAGTTGATTTCTTAAAACCAAGCTGCTTACCTATTGCAGATTCAGTCTTCCCAGCCTGGTGCAGGTCTACAATTTTGTTTCTGGTGTCCTTTGAAAGCTCTTTCGTCTTGGCCATAGTGGAGTTTGGAGTGTGACTGTTTGAGGTTGTGGACAGGTGTCTTTTATACTGATAACAAGTTTAAACAGGTGCCATTAATACAGGTAACGAGTGGAGGACAGAGGATCCTCTTAAAGAAGAAGTTACAGGTCTGTGAGAGCCAGAAATCTTGCTTGTTTGTAGGTGACCAAATACTTATTTTCCACCATAATTTGCAAATAAATTCATAAAAAATCCTACAATGTGATTTTCTGGATATTTTTTCCTCAATTTGTCTGTCATAGTTGACGTGTACCTATGATGAAAATTACAGGCCTCTCTCATCTTTTTAAGTGGGAGAACTTGCACAACTGGTGGCTGACTAAATACTTTTTTCCCCCACTGTAAATAGGCCTGTTTATTTTTGTGCATCTCTAAAATAGTTAGCCAATTCTCTACATTTTTATTGTTATTCATGGTCCTACACATGAAAGCATTAGCAACCGTGAACACTAGAGCAGCTTCAAAAGATACACGTCTTACAACCAGGGTTGAGTAGGTTACTTTTTAAATGTAATCCGTTACAGTTACTAGTTACCTGTCTAAAATTGTAATCAGTCACGTAGTTTTTGGATTACCTAAACTCAGTAACGTAATCTGATTACTTTCAGTTACTTTTGGATTACTTCACCCGTAAAACACATAAGAAGAAAAAAAAGATTACCAATTTACCAACATTTATTGCAGGATGTTTGAGCCACTAAGCAGAGCCACATTAGAACACATCACAAAACATTGTGACAAAAATGTATTTAAGCCCTGTATACCTGCCTCTAACATGCATCCTTCATCCTGATCTTGTCCATTTAGCCTACACCTATAAGATCTGATCACAGTCAGACCACAATGCGTCTTTTAGTCATGTACACCTGTCTAAAAATGTGGGCACACAGACAATGTGCAGGACAAATGATAACCAGGTATAAGTAAGGGCTTAAGTAACACCGCAACATGGATGGTGCCAAACACTTATCCCACGGGACACCAGTACAAAAAAGTATGAAAATGCAACTTAGTTAGTTAGCTAGCTAGCTAACTAAGTTTGCAACAGCCCTGACAGTGAGCATCTACAACCCCACATTTGGTTGGTCCGGACAGGACCAAGTAACAATCTGATTCACAAGTTGGGAAATCAAATTACAGCAGTTGAAGGACAATTTCCGTATTTAGGACACTAATCTGTATTTATCATATAAATGCCATTTTATAAAGGGGTGAAGACACTTGAAAAAAAACATTCACTAGGTTGAGTAACTTACATGAAGCAGCGTTCGTCTTCCTGAGCATCTTCTGGAAATTTGGTGCAAGTTGGCAACACGAACAAAGGTTAAATAAAACATACACGTCCTTTTACAAGCTGCAAAGACCTTGTTATCATGGTGCAGGTCTGTAGATGTTGTAGAAACAAATATTGTGTCATTTGAAACTTTGCACGTTCATGCGCAAACATGGAAGTTTGCGCACTTATGTCCGATATTGTCTCAACACGGCAAAACTTACCGCCACAGATCATTGCAGATAAAGTTTAGAATTACAAAATGTTCATTTCTACAACATCTACAGACCTGCACCATGATAACGAGAACTTTGCAGCTTGTAAAAGTACATATTTGTGTGTTTTGGAGTGTTTGTTACTGTTTCCATCTCGGGAAGATGCTCAGGAAGACAACTGCTGCTGCGGGTAAGTTACTCAAAACCTAGTGATATTTCAAAAAAATTATTCACCCTTCTATAACATGGCATTTATATGATTAGGGTCTTAAATACTGAAATTTTATTTTAATTTGTATAGTAGAGCACAATAAAGAACATACTGTACTGTATAATGTAATGTACTAAAGTCTAGTTTGTGCATGCTAGCTTACTCAATCATACACCATAACATACAAGTGCATTGATACATAACATTAAAGTTATGCAGTGGCAACACAGCTAACACTCTTACACACATTGTTTTAAAACTAGCTCAAATCTTAAATGATTGTTGCCCAAAGGAGTCTTGTAAAGACAAAATAGAAACATGACTTGCAAATTACAACAAGCCCTATAAACAGGGCCACATCAGAACACTGAAAACATTGTAACAGAAACTAGTCTCTAAGACAGCAACATTGATGGTGCAAAAAAACACTTGTCCGGCTTAATGACAACATATTTGTAATGAAAATTGACCACTACTATCGTCATCTGATCACTTGGTAAAAATATAATAAAAATACGAGCTAGATTCCCCAGCGCAGCTGATCCTAATTGCAACTAACTTAACTTAATTGCAACTAACTAACTAACTAAACTTAATTGCAACTAACACCAGAGAACCCCCCCGTTACAAATGTAGGGTTTATGCTGTAGTATTGGATCAGAACCCCACCAAGAGTATCTAAATATTGTCCAACCTCTCCCTTCTTTGTCTACTTTCCTTGCGACCACCATTTCGATCCCCTGACAGATGGAACCATCTTTTGACGCTTTTTCCCACTTTGTCGGTTGCATCGGACGTGAGCCGGTTTCTCCTCACCGCAGCTTTAAATGAAAATTGGGGAATAAAGAATAATTGGTTTATTTAGATGTTTCTTTCGATGCTTTCTAGTATTCATGAAGGACTTTGGCAACAGTAGAACATTAACTTACAATTAACTATCTCTTTGAGCTGCAGTTGGCACAAGGGCACCTTTCCATTGATTCTCCTTCAGTTCATTGAAAGATCATGGGAGATTATGTGTGCCACACATTCTTTCACATCACAGCCACCTTTCAATCCCAAATAGTCAATCTGTAACCACATAGACAACAGAAATGTGACCATAACATTTGGATATTTTATGTCAATATTAAGTAATTCACCTAATTTTAATAGCCTATTGGCTGCTGAAAAACTAGTAACAGTTTTTTTCCAATATCAAAAACACAAACACTATCTTAGTTTTGGATAACTAAGGCTCCATACAGATCTGGATATTGGTTATGTCTCGGCTAATAATACCACAAACTTTTAAAGCATAATTATAATGGCTGACTAGGTCAAGAGATGGAAATGCAAAAAGAGATCTCACCATCTTTTGCCTAAACTCTCTGCTGGCCTTCAGCTCTCCATCAAGATGTTCCATTTGTTGAACACTGCCTACTGGAAAAAGACCATCAGGTAGGTCTTCTTGCAGGACCCTTCTGCCTCTCTGGTCTTGAACGGTTAGAAAAATATTCTAAGTTGTTCTAATATAATTTCCTGCTTTGTCAGAAGATTCAGGAGCAGAGCTGAAAAACATGAAGGGTCTTACAGTCTTTGAAACAATAAATAAACACAAACAGAACAGCAATCTTCTCCATGCAATAGTGATGTTTTTACTGTCATTGCGCTGAGAACAATTCCTGGTCTGCCCTCTAATTATGAAACATGTATACGTGTTTCAGAGTAAACTTAATTATTTTCAAAGTATTTGAAGACCAAGAGGAATTATGAAAGCCCAAAACAGATCTATCTCTATTATACGTTTTTGAAAAGAGAATTGAGCATTTTGAAAACCCTGTAAATTACTGAAACCAACTCTTTTTGCGTATTTTAGGGTTGTTTTTCGTAGTTGCGTATTTTGACTTCAAATTGTGTAGATAATACACAAAATGTGTACAGGTTGGCAGGTTTGTGGAAAGTTACCACCTGTTTTATAACATGTACATGCAGTATATCTGTTGACAGTCAGTAAAAACAAAAACTCATTTATCTATACCCACAGGGCATAGATAACAATAACCTGGCAAATTATCAAACTAATAAAGCCTAAAAGAAAAAGCTGTCAAACTCGTGTTGGTCAGCATGTAAAGCTGGGTAGTGTGCAGCTTGAGTAGACAACGCATGAAAGAAGGAGAGGAGAGTATGCGTCAGCTGTCACATAAGATGGGAGGTATTTTTCGGAAAGTAAAAATAATGTAATATAAATAAGAAAGCCTTTTTTCTGAACTGGCGATTCGCTATGTTTAAATAAGAGAGGCGTGTCTTCTGGAGTCTGATGGCCCAAGAGAGTTATGTCTTCTGGAGTCTGATGGCCCAGGAGAGGCGTGTCTTCTGGAGTCTGATGGCCCAGGAGACGTATGTCCTCTAGAGTCGAATCCATGCCTCTCCAGGTTGCTGCTGAGTTTTTGCGGCCTTAACAACATCATCGATTTTATAGGGAGGCCATAGGCATACACCATATTTGACCCACAATGCGGGTACCACCGCCAAATTGTTAGTTTCAGTAAATAAAACAATGTGATACATTTCCTAAAGGGAGACAAAAATAGGAACACTATCAGTACATTATAACATGTAATCCCTCAATAGACAGCCTCGTATTTTATACTCAAAATAATTTGGTTAAAATGATACTGTACATTACAGATATTACTGCTTTTATTGGAATAGTTCACTATTTTACAACTTTATATTAGATAGTTCTCCGACAACCATTACACACTTCAGCTAACTTTAGTCACCACTAGCTAAAAAAAGATTTATGTGATGGGATCATGTGAGCATGTTTAAAAATTAAATATGCTCATATGCACCCATCAACAAAGTTAGTAGCAACATCACTTTTCTAGGTAAAGTAGGTATACTTACAAAAATATATTACAGGGAATCGTCAGTGAGTTGAATCGGGTTCCAGTCCTAGGACGGAGTGCAAAAGAGGATAAACCACATGTCCGTTATGTAGTGGCAACCTCACATATTTCTGCAGATGTTTTACCTGAAAGCACTGAATTCTTGAGGACAGGTTAGAAACTTCAGATTCTTAACTCCCTGGAGTCAAGAGGATACTTTGTCTGTATTCTTTACCCAAAATGTACACTTTGCCCTCTGTAGAAATTACATTCAGGACAGAACAAACTTTGTTATCAATTCTGATACAGCCATTTCTCTCTGAGGTTCTGTCGACTAATCCATCAATCAACAGCTCCTTGAACTGATGCACTACTCCAGCGAAACTCTGTGGCACAGGATATTCCTTGCTGCTCTTCTTCATCAACATAACTAGACTTTAACTTATCAAATTCTGACAGTCGGCGGATCACTTGAGTTAAAGGACCGTGTGGCCTTCTGACCATTCTTTTTAGTTTCCCCAATACATTTTCAAAGGGAAAGCCTGATATCAGATCTAAATGTCCATGTATTTTGACAGCTTCGCTCAGTTGTACCAAGCCATGTATGTTATAAACGATAAATTCCTGACCATACAGTTGTCCAAAGTGCTGAACAAATGAGACAACTAATGTGTTGGCTAGGTCATTCATTGTTAAACAATATTCAGGACTCGCTAAAAGATATACAGAACCAGTCAAAAGTTTGGACACACCTACTCATTCAAGGGTTTTTCTTTATTTTTGCTTTTCTACATTGTAGAAAAATAGTGAAGACATAAAAACAATGGAATTACACATATTGAATCATGTAGTAACCAAAAAAGTGTTAAACAAATCCTAATATATTTTATATTTGAGATTCTTCAAAGTAGCCTTGATGACAGCTTTGCACACTCTTGGCATTCTCTCAACCAGCTTCATGAGGTAGTCACCTGGAATGCTTTTCCAACAGTCTTGAAGGAGTTCCCACATATGCTGAGCACTTGTTGGCTTCTTTTCCTTCACTCTGCGATCCGACTCATCCCAAACCATCTCAATTGGGTTGAGGTTGGGTGATTGTGGAGGCCAGGTCATTTGATGCAGCACTCCATCACTCTCCTTCTTGGTCTAATAGCCCTTACACAGCCTGGAGGTGTGTTTTGGGTCATTGTCCTGTTGAAAAACAAATGATAGTCCCACTAAGCGCAAACCAGATAGGATGGCGTATCGCTGAAGAATGCTGTGGTAGCCATGCTGGTTAAGTGTGCCTTGAATTCTAAATAAATCACAGACAGTGTCACCAGCAAAGCACCATCACACTACCTCCTCCATGCTTCACCGTGGGAACCACACATGCAGAGATCATCCGTTCACCTACTCTGCGTCTCACAAAGACACGGCGGTTGGAACCAAAAATCTCAAATTTGGACTCATCAGACCAAAGGACAGATTTCCACCGGTCTAATGTCCATTGTTCGTGTTTCTTGGCCCAAGCAAGTTTCTTATTATTATTGGTGTCCTTTAGTATTGGTTTCTTTGCAGCAATTCGACCATGAAGGCCTCATTCATGCAGTCTCCTCTGAACAGTTGATCAAATAAAATAAAATGTTATTTGCCTCATGCGCCGAATACAACAGGTGTAGACCTTACAGCGAAATGCTTACTTACAAGCCCTTAACCAACAATGCAGTTTTTATGAAGAAAAAAAATAACAAGTGTTAAGTAAAAAATAGATAAATAAAAAATAGCAAATAATTAAAGAGAAGCAGTAAAATAAAATAACAGTAGAGAGACTAAATACAGGGGGTACTGGTACAGAGTCAATGTGCGGGAGCACCGGTTAGTCGAGGTAATTGAGGTAATATGTACAGTTGAAGTCGGAAGTTTACATACACTTAGGTTGGAGTCATTATAACTATTTTTCCAACCACTCCACAAATTTCTTGTTAACAAACTATAGTTTTGGCAAGTCGGTTAGGACATCTACTTTGTGCATGACACAAGTAATTTTTCCAACAATTGTTTACTGACAGATTATTTCACTTATAATTCACTGCATCACAATTCCAGTGTGTCAGAAGTTTACATACACTAAGTTGACTGTGCCTTTAAACAGCTTGGAAAATTCCAGAAAATGATGTCATGGCATTAGAAGCTTCTGATAGGCTAATTGACATCATTTGAGTCAATTGGAGGTGTACCTGTGAATGTATTTCAAGGCCTACCTTCAAACTCAGTGCCTCTTTGCTTGACATCATGGAAAAATGAAAAGAAATCAGCCAAGACCTCAGAAACAAAAATTGTAGACCTCCACAAGTCTGGTTCATCCTTGGGAGCAATTTCCAAATGCCTGAAGGTACCACGTTCATCTGTACAAACAATAGTACACAAGTATAAACACCATGGGACCACGCAGCCGTCATACCGCTCAGGAAGGAGACGCGTTCTGTCTCGTAGAGATTAACGTACTTTGGTGCGAAAAGTGCAAATCAATCCCAGAACAACAGCAAAAGGACCTTGTGAAGATGCTGGAGGAAACAGGTACACAAATATCTATAACCACAGTAAAACGAGTCCTATATTGACATAACCTGAAAGGCCGCTCAGCAAGGAAGAAGCCACTGCTCCAAAACCGCCATAAAAAAGCCAGACTATGGTTTGCAACTGCACATGGGGACAAAGATCGTACTTTTTGGAGAAATGTCCTCTGGTCTGATGAAACAAAAATTGAACTGTTTGGCCATAATGACCATCGTTAAGTTTGGAGGAAAAAGGGGGTTGCTTGCAAGCCGAAGAACACCATCCCAACCGTGAAGCACGGGGGTGGCAGCATCATGCTGTGGGGGTGCTTTGCTGCAGGAGGGACTGGTGCACTTCACAAAATAGATGGCATTATGTGGATATATTGAAGCAACATCTCAAGACATCAGTCAGGAAGTTAAAGCTTGGTTGCAAATGGGTCTTCCAAATGGACAATGACCCCAAGCACACTTCCAAAGTTGTGGCAAAATGGCTTAAGGACAACAAAGTCAAGGTATTGGAGTGGCCATCACAAAGCCCTGACCTCAATCCTATAGAACATTTGTGGGCAGAACTGAAAAAGCGTGTGCGAGCAAGGAGGCCTACAAACCTAACTCAGTTACACCAGCTCTGTCAGGAGGAATGGGCCAAAATTCACCCAACTTATTGTGGGAAGCTTGTGGAAGGCTAACCAAAACGTTTGACCCCAAGTTAAACAATTTAAAGGCAATGCTGCCAAATACTAATTGAGTTTATGTAAACTTCTGACCCATGGGAATGTGATGAAAGAAATAAAAGCTTAAATAAATAATTCTCTCTACTATTATTCTGACATTTCACATTCTTAAAATAAAGTGGTGATCCTAACTAACCTAAGACAGGGAATTTTTACTAGGATTAAATGTCAGGAATTGTGAAAAACTGAGTTTTTAAATGTATTTGGCTAAGGTGTATGTAAACTTCCGACTTCAACTGTACATGTGGGTAGAGTTAAAGTGACTATGCGTAGATAATAAACAGAGTATCAGCAGCGTAAAAGAGGGGGTGGGGTGTGGGGACATTGCAAATAGTCCGGGTAGCCATAATTCGCTGTTCTGGAGTCTTATGGCTTGGGGGTAGAAGCTGTTAAGAAGCCTTTTGGAC